CTCTGAATGAAGGTCCTGTGTCCTACTTTCAGAGAACTTCAGTGTAACTAGGCTTCTGAGGAGATAAGCAGGATAAAGAGTATGACCTCGAAGGTGCTATATTATGGGGTAGTATGTCCTGATTCCCAACAAAGACAAGGCTATGATGTGTAGAAGAATAAGGGGTTGAAATTGTGGGTGTGTGGGGTATCAGTCTTGGACATGTGGAGAGTTAGCAATTAGAAGCTTCTGCCAACAGTGAATCCAGCCAAGTTTGAATACTGCAGTGTGTTCTGTTTGTTTTTGCAGCACGGGGATTGAGCCCAGGGCATCTTGCATGTGCTAGGCAATTGCTATCCCACTGAGCTACATTCCCAGCCTATATGTAAATGTGTCTTTATTATTATCATTATATCTTCTTGTGTTATTTCTCCACCAGTACAGAATAGCTTGTGTATAGAAAGGAAGAAGAAAGGTGATTGGAAAGAACCAAACATGAAGTTTTGTAGAGTGGCTATAACAGAAGAAACTAAATGTAAAACATTTAAGATTTGGTGAGAGTCATTAGAGGGATTTAGCATGAAGTTTTTACAGAAGGAACAAAGACTTGAATGTAATGAAGGATCAGAGGGAAAGGAGCATTGAAGGTTTATAAGAGGTAGAAGAGCAGAGCAATTGTTCTCAGAGTAAGGAAGCTTGAAGGAAAGGTGTAGCAAATCTGCAACATGGAATCTGCATACGTCTTCCAGATCAATGATTACCAAACTGTTTTAGTTAGCCTTTCATTGCTGTTACCAAAAATATCTGACAAAACAATTTAGGGGAGAAAATGTTCCTTTTGGCAATCAGTTTCAGAGGTTCAGTCAATGGTTGGACAACTCAACAACTCTAGGCCTAAGGTGAGGCATAACATCCTGGCAGAAGAAAATCAGCTCAGGACATGGCAACCAGGAAGAGAGAGAGCTCCACTCATCAAGGACAAATGTAAACCCCAAAGTCATATTCCCAGTGACCTATCTCCTCCACACTGTACCTACGCAGTTACCACACATATATCAATGGATTAATTTACCAATAAGGTTACAACTCTCATAACTTGATTGTTTTACCTCTGAACATTCTTAAATATTGTCTCACACATGAGCTTTTAAGAGGCCCCCTCATATCTAAACTATGACACAAACATTTTCTATAATGAGCCAGAGAGTAGTTATTTTCTGCTTTCCAGGCCAATATGGTTTCTGCTACAACTTCTCAACTCTCCCCTTAGATCATGAAGGCAGTCTTAGACATTAATTAAATGGGCATGGTTGTGTTCCAGTTATCTTTGTTTACAAAAACAGGTTGTTGGACTAGATTTTTCTCAAGGATTGTAATTTGCTGATTGCTGTCACAGATGATGACAATTCCCAGGATGTGGATGATGACAGGCTGAGCTGAAGACTGTTAGAAACTAAGAGCTTAATGTCCCTTAAGGTTAAAATGTTGGCTGGGTATAGTGGTGCACTCCTGTAATCCCAGCAACTTGGGAGGCTTAGGCAGGAGGATCACAAGTTCAAGACCAGCCTCAGCAATGTGGAGAGGCCCTTAGCAACTTAAGGATAAAGGGCTGGAGATGTAGATCAGTGGTAAAGCCCCTGGGTTCAAATCCCAAGGACAAAAAAAAAAGTAGGTAGGTAGATAGATAGACAGTATATGGATACATACATACATATGAAAAACATCATGACCTAATAAATCTTTGTAGAACACTCCATCCAAGGACAACAGAATAAACATATCCTTCTTAAGTATGCAAGAAATACTCTCCAGGACAGACCATATTACTAAACCATAAAACAAGCCTTAGTAGAGGACTAAAATCATTCCAAGTATATTTTTGACTCACGTGGAGTGATATTAAAACAGAAGGATTGTGGGGGCGTTCACAAATATGTGAAAACCAACACACTCCTAAATGGCTAACAAGTCAAAGAAGACACAAGAAATTAGAAAAAATACTTTGAGATCAGTGAAAAGAACAACACAGAATATTAAATACAAGATGCAGCTAAACCAGTGCTTAAAGGGAAGTGTACAGTTTTAAATGCCGACATTGAAAGGAAAGAAAACTCTCAAATCCATGACTTAAACTTCTCCCTAAGGGGAAAGAAGGAGCAAAAAATCACAAGCGTCTGAGAGGGAATCAAATAGCTCAGATAGGGAAACTGGCCCTTGGTAAAAACAGCTTGCCATTGTAACTGGACATTAGGCTAGGAGGGTGGGTCATGTGTTTCCATTGAGAAGATAATGAAGTTGCTTTCTGCTGCCTTTTATTTTCTTGATAAAGCTGGACTTGAAGTCATCTGCAGAGTACAGGAAAATGGAGCATTGGAGGTCTGAGGATAGTGAAGGAGAGTTGAGATAATTTTCATGCACGGTGATTAAAATAGTCCTCTGTAGAAAAAAAAAACAGAAAACTACTAAAAGTTTCAAGTTTATTGAGGATGATTTGAGTTTGATGATCATGAATTATAAAATAATTACTGTACTGATTTTGTAAGAGTCATCTTGCTAATTCTCTCTCTCTCACCTCAGTACTTGGAATGAACCCAGGGCTGCTCTACCACTTGGCTCCATTCCTAGTCCTTTGTTTTTCTTTCTTTTCTTTTTCTTTTTTCTTTTCCTTTCTTTTCTTTTCTTTTTTTTTTTTTTTTTTTTTTTTTTTTTTTTTTTTTTTTTTTTTTTTGAGGCAGGGCCTCACTGAGTTGCCCAGATGGCCTCAAATTTGGTGATCCTTCTACTTAAGCCTCCCAAGTCACTGGGATTACAGGCAGATGATTCCACCTCCCCACACATGGGGGGCGGGAGGGAGGACACTATTGTTCTGCCCTGTAGTGTGATTCCTGTGGGTAAAGGCACAGAAAAGGCAAATGTTTGTATTCGTGTAGGACTACAGTTTTGTTATATGGGTGGGATGAAATAATAGAAGAGCACAGAAGTTTAGGATATTGAAATGATAGGTCATGGTCAATAAACTGGATAAGAAAAAAAAAAACTACAGAAAAGGAGGAAAACAACAAATGAATATAGAGGGGTCAGTTAACTAGCAGTCACCAGAAAGTCTAAAATCCAAATCAGCTCTGCAAAGGTAAGGAACCTTTGTTCTTCCTCAAATCTCTGTGCTAGCACCTGCAATAGGTGATAATTTAATAAACAAGCAGAAAAATGTGAAATTTTAGTCAGATATGGATTAGTGATAACAGGAGGTTATTCATTCTGCATAACATGTGCCTTGATATGTACATATAGTATGTTCCCACTAATAATTAGCCTTATTATGCTTTTTTGGACTTTTATAGGAACTATTTATTTTCACAGAAATATAGAGCCATTTTCTGCAAATGCATGAGTTGACCTTTTCCAAGTGAATATCCTTTGAGGTCATTGCACAATTAGGGTTGTTAGATTTGACCTAATATGGGAAAAGTACGCAGACAAAGCACTAGTAGAAATTATCTTCCTTTCTCTCAAAGCCAAAGTCTAAGGACACTGGCTTCTGATGCCTTCAGTTGTTTTATTGTGCTTATCACCTGTGTAGACAGTTTTATATTTACATTGCTGAATCACCTCTCTAAAGTATATTGACCTTTCAGTAGGTTTTAAAAAGCTTCTCTTTTGCTTTTTGTCTAGGACTAAAGTGTCATTCAAAAATAGAGATGATTGTTTACCAAAGCAAAAGGTTACATAAGACTGCTAAAATGATAATAAATCTAGTTTTTAAGCCATGCCAGTTTTTTTTAAATGAATTAATTGAATCAAAGAGTTATTTCAATTTTGAGGATTGAGAAATACTGTCCTTCATATCGCTTTTAGATGACTTGCATGTCTTTCAGATATGTTTTCTTCTCATGCCCCATAGTAAAAGTACTTATAGAAAGTAGATATTCATTAATTCTGTCCTGTTGATCTTTAATAATAAACTAAGCCATTCTCTGAAATGTGCTTCCCTCTACCTCTTTGCCTGGTAAATTGCTTTTATAATTTACTTCAGATATCACCTCTGAAATTATTCCTAGCTCTTACAGGCAAAATGAATAGGCCTCTGTCCTTTGAGTAGCTTACACCTATTTTCTGTTGTGTGTTCATTATGTATTATACATCTGTTTCTCATTCTTGCCTTTTGTCTATCAAGGAGCAGGGACTTTGGCTTATGCATCTTTAGTGTCTCCAGTGTTTTGCAATGAAGTGTCCTAAAACCGATAGCAAGAAAACTTGTTTCAAAGCTCACTGTAGGCCTAGGTTGAGAAACTCTACCCACTTTAAAATTTCCCTGCAGCTAGGATACCACTGTCAGGTGAGCAGTGATTAACTGAATATGGCCTCATGATCCAGCCAGTAGAAGTGATTAACTCATAGAAAGATTAGCCTTTTTTCCTGTACCCATTTTTTAAAATTGAGAGTAATACTTAGTCAACACTCTATGTGTTTGTTAAAACTAAAACTGTCAATCAAAATATTAACAGTGGCCATATTTGGGTGATATTTCAGTTTAACTTTTTTCATTAGGTATCCATTTTGTCTTTGTTTGACAAAATGTTTGTTTCAGGTCATATTTTGGGGAAAAAAACTTAACTATTTCCAGTTTTTTTAATTATAGTACATGTGGAAACATTGATGAGAAAAAATACTTTAGGACAATTTGGAACCAATCAGAGTTGAATCAAGATGAACCAGTCTGTGGTTGAGGAAAGCAAGTTTATTTGCTTCAGGTTAACTGGGACTCTTCTCTATCCAGTCTCTGAGATCCAAGCCTCCTCCTTCTCATAGTGGTTTCCAAAGTTGCTCTAGCCAGGATAGGGTAAACAGAATTGACCAGCCACCTGGCTCAGCACATGTCACTTGCCTTGGCCAAAACCAGTCTCAGAGACCAAATCCTACTGAAAAATAGAATGGAAAATACAGAAAAGCACCTGGAATCTAGTATATGGTAAATACCAGTTGTCTCTGCCAACATGACCATAATTCTTTTTATTTTTTAGTTACTGTAACGAATGTATGTTGGATCCAGACTGCGGTTTCTGTTACAAGATGAACAAATCAGCTGTCATTGACTCTTCTTGTGTGCCCGTTAATAAAGAATCCACAAATGAGGCAGCCTGGGGCAGGTATGTTACTCATTACTAAACAAAAGAATGTCTAATACAATTTTAATATGAGTCTGATTTCTAATATTTCAGGGTGTCTTGCACCGGTTCTTTTTAAGCTGCATGTACCAGTGATGGGTGCAAAGCGTTGCACCTGTGTAGTTCATACTTTCAGAGAAGAAAGCACTCAGGCCCAGACTTCTGGAGGCCTGAAGTCCAGACTCAACTCTGCCTAATAAACCACAGTAATTGGGATCTTTAGTTTAAGGCAAATATTCACAAATATTGCCAAGGCAGTTTTGCCACTATGTATTATATACCTACGCTGTAAAATTCCAAACTAGAATTTCCTGAACTTAATGGTAATTGTAAGGTCAAAATGAATTAATGCCACTTTACATACTTTCATGGAACTAATTTTTCTAGAGTACTTTCCTAGGATTCAATGAAACTAAGCAAAATAAGGATAAAATTTGGAAATCATTGGTGTGCAGCCTGTCTGGTAGCCTGTATCTCTTTCTAACAGAACATATTAGTTTATAGTAGAGACATAAATGAAACCTTTATATAGAATAAATCCTTCCCACATTTATGAACTAATATTCATATTCTTAGACACATAAAATGTGTAAATGTACAAATGATATGGCTTTTAACTCTTCTGTGGTTTAAATTCTCATTAAAAGGAGTAATATGCTCTCATACTGTCTACCTCATAGTACCTATTATAAAGGCAATTGAATCTTTAAAGTACTTGTATCGCCTGTGAACTATAAAATATAATGTATTAGTATTAATCGTTATGCTGTTACCATTAATCATTGTATTAGGGAATTACTCCAAAGAAGTAAACTTTATGGTAGTTGAGGGAAAGTCCAGACTGCATTTTAAATATGATAACAACAAAGAAAGATGTAAAAAAAATGCAGTTGTTATTTTAAATGAACCTTTAAAAGAACTGTGAGTATATGTAACTAGTTTATAGCTTTAAACCCCTAGCTTTTGGTTTTGTTTTTCCCAGGAGAGAAAGTTACTAGTCTAGAATCATGAACATGTGATGAATTCTGTTTAGCAATAATAAATGAATATGGTTTCCCATATTTCACAGAATTAATCTGTAAGCTTATTAGAAATGTCTACTAATAAATAGTAAGGAGTACTAAAATTAGATGTATTTCTCACCCTCAGTAGGTTTATAAGTCAGAAGCTTCAAAACTAGAGTTTTATTCTTATGTTTTGCAAATAAATTATATAGCATTTTAGTGGAAATGTATATATTAGTGGGTTTTTTGTGAAGAACAATTTAAAAAGTTATTCTTACATTTTATTTATATTTTTGTATCATTATCCTATGACTACATACACTACTAGAGAAAGATGAGGCACAGAAAATAAATAAAACTAACATAAGAAAATACTTAAGAATTTCTATGTTTATAGCATATTGTTAGAATAATCTCAAAGCATTTAGAATAAAGAAAAATAAAATCACAAATTTTTCTTACTCTTTCTTCCCTCTGCTGGAAAACAGCCTTTCTCTTAACCTGACCACTGCTGTTGGTTACATCAGTCTTTGCTAAAAAGAGATCAAAAACGGTGGGATGCATTCACTGTGAAAATTCTTAGGACAAGTTTTCCATTTGTAAGACTACTATAAAGTACACCATCAGGTAAACAAGAGAAAGCTGTACATGTGAAAGATGGCCAAATGAATACCTACATTACAAAACACCCCAGTTTTTGAAAGAGAATTTGAAATAATATTTAAAAGAAATAAGGGATATGATACACTTTTGTGAAATTATGCTGAAAGCTATATGCTATAATGTGTACACTGTCTATGTATATATGTATATATATAATGTGTTATCAGTAAATTTTGAAAAAAAAACTAAAACCTACAAACCTACAGTTCAAGATACATAGTAGTATAGAATGTGGTATGAGAACTTAACATTTAAATTATGAACTATTAAAAGGAGAAACAATAAAATCAAACTAATAAACAGAGGAAAGACACACACACACACAGAATGATGGTTAAGGGAAATCACAGAAAATCCAATAGAACTGAATATAAACTTAACTCACTACAATAAAAATACAAACCAATAAAGCACCCCAATAAAGGCAAACATCCTCATACTGAGTTTTTTTATTTTATTTTTTTAAAGACAGCTATTCACTATTTACAAGAGATCACAGAAGGGATGGAAACACAATGAAAACAAATAAGTGCTAAATCAAAAAGAAAAAAAAATAGCAGAAATCAAAGAACTTTGGAAATTTAAAAGCTTTATGTAAGATTTTGTGCACTTAACAAGTAGAGTACTTCATTCTTTTCAAGCAAATCCAGAACACTTATGAAAATTTTCATGTTCAAGCACAAAAAATAAATTTAATAAATTTATATAAATGCATCTATTCCAGAAGATTCTAAATATATTCAAATAACCAATACCATGCAGAACACGTTTTCTAATCAAAACGCAATAAGTTTGCCAAACAATAACACAATAGTTATCACCTCTTCTACTTCAGCTTGGAAACTAAATACAAAATCTAAACTTCAAGTTAATTAATGAATTAAGAAGACAACTGAGGCTGTGGCTCAGTGGTAGAGCGCTTGCCTAGCATGTGTGAGGCACTGGGTTCGATTCTCAGCACCACATATAAGTAAAGGAATAAAATAAAGGTCTACACATCTAAAAAAATTTTTTAAAAAAAGAAGTCAGCATAATGGAAAACAAAATTCAAAATCAATAGTTAAACAGATCCATAAGAAATTAGAACTAGAATAAAGACCAAACCTGCCGAGGAAACAGAGGATAATAATTAGAAAGATAAGTGAGGAGTGAAATAAAGCAAAGAAGTACTAGAGAGGATCAAGAAATAAAGATGGTTGAATTTAGAGAACAATAGAATGAAGAAACCTCTGGCAATACTGATCAAGCAGTAAAAAATGGACAAACAATAGTTGGTGGGAGGGAGGCATAGAAGAGATAGCAAAGATTGTTCAAATCTTAAGAGAATTCCATGAATAATATTCTCCAGTTCAGGTGAGGATGGCCTAGAGGATCTGAATGACTTTCTAAAAGTCAAGAGGCCCGTAGACCACCTTATTTGGGGGCAGCATCAGTTAAGTAATAGAAAAACATACTTTTAGAATGAAGTGATTATAAATTTGGGCTTTCATTATTTACCTCATAGTTTGGTCCTGGGACAGACTGGGTGTCTCTGAGCCACATTCTTCATCTGTAAAATGGAAACAATATAATTGTTGTGCTGAACAATATGGTTGTTAGGAAGATCAAATAAGAGCTTATCTGAAGATATTGTGAAAACAATGCTTTATAAAAATATCTTGTATGAATTTTTCTTTCTCAGTAATGTGTTTTCTCATCAGTAACAGGTTTTGCATTACAATAAGCATTTCCTAATAGATAAGTGCCTTAGAATACTGTTTATGTGTTTGTGTCTATTCATCCACCTCCATACCTCCTGGCTCTCTATATATACACCATAAATAATTCTATTTTGGAACTTTAAACCTGCTGACTAAAAATATCACTAATGAGGGATATTTCTTAATGTGCTTATTCAGTATTTGTTTCTTCTAATACAGCATTTTGCTTTGTAATTAGAAACACTAAAATAGCTAGATAGATTCCCTATTTGGCAATCTATTGTTCATCGTATTCATTCAGCAAAGATGTTTTTCTCAGAGCCGTGCTGTGCCACAACATTCAGCCTGTTTTCTCTGCATCTGACCATTTATTCTCCTGTACAGAATTCTAGTCAAGGTAAACCCCTTGCCATCTCCCAATGTCCACTATGACTTCCTGCCTCTTATACCTTTCCTCATTCTGTGCATTCTGCCTAGGATTAACCACCCTCTTTCTCCTTTTTGATCTCTGCTTGAGTTATAATCATCATTTTTTTCCCAGAGCAGATGTTGCTTTTTCCTTGCAGTCTCCGATTAGCCCCAGAAAACAATGCTTATTACATCCCCTCCGTCCTCTGGCACGAACATTGTAGTAAACTACAAGAGATATGTCGTAGCTACAAGATTAATGATAGCCATGAGGCCTGTTCAAGCGTCACCCAGGGCCAACAACACACGTTACTTGACAGTATGATATAACCTGGCCCAGGGATTGCCCGGAAACTAGGATACCTCAGTGCACACGCAGCTCTTTAGACATCTTAGAGCAAAGCTCACCTTGACAACAAGTTTAACCTCCCTTGGTGAAACCTGGAAACCAACCCATACTGAATATAGGTATAAGGGGAGAAGAATCACCAAACTTTGAGAATGGTCTCCAAATGGAGACCCCCACACAGGTGGTCATCTGACCCCTGGTTGGTTGTGACCTATGCCATCAGCCTGCTCTGGTGTCTGACTTGTCACAGCACTGCCAGAGCAGCCATGTCTGGGACTCATCTTTGATAGGAGTCAGAAAGGGAAAAGTTGCCCATGAGGAAGCTGGTTAACTAGGACCATCAGAACCCCAAACAAGGCATTTATATAACTTGTATGGTAATTATACTGGCTAATGTGTATCTTCTTGCCTAAGATAGAAATTCCAATACCTGTGCCCTGCAGTGTTTTTAAACCCTGAGTAATTTGTATACATCAATAATTTTAAAATTTTGAAAGTTTGAAATTAGCCATAGTTCCAAATGAGAGGTTATTATATTCTAATCATTTCATTTGAGTTACCTCTTCTATATTCATACTTATTTTTAAGAAATGAAACATGTAAAAGAAAAAATGAAAGTAATGGAATTTTAATTAACAGAGTGTCTGTGCTTACCTAAGACCGTTTTAGATTTTAATTTTTTTTAATTTTATTTATTTATTTATTTATTTGTTTATTTATTTATTTTTATTTGCATTTCTGGGGATTGAGTCCAGGGGCACTCTGTAACTGAGCTACATCCCCAGCCCTCTTTATTTTTTGAGTCTCAATAAGTTCCCCAGGCTGGCCTTGAACTTGAGTTCCTCCTGCCTCAACCAC